TGACATGAGAAAAAATTGAATATAAATTACAAAGTAAATGAAGTATACACAACTAAGAATAACATCAGTGTTATAATACGCTTTTAATTTAATGATAGTAAATATTAATCAACACAGGATGTAAGTAAAATGTATGTCTTGTGAAAAACATTGACAGATTTTCTTTTTGACTAGCTGACCAAATATCTATGTGATGTTAAAATACCTATCTAATTGCTATTTTCTTTTTATATATTTTTTCAAGCCATAAATATTTGTGTGAGCTCTATCTATCACTAGATGACAGATCTCAAGCTGGTTAATTGATTTCTTTCAATAACAAGTATTTATCAATAAAAATAAGAGAGGGATAAACTTAAAGAGGATGTATGCCTTTGAGCTATCTTTTTAACACCAATAATAAGTGGGAGAATTGATGATGTTTTAAAGATCAGCTCAACAGTTTATTCTTATTTTCTTGTTGATTTTACATAGCACTCTACAACATATCACAGACTTTTATGGTGTTGATTGTTTATCAGTAATATGTCCAGATTGATAAGTGATTACATGATATTGGTAGTTCAAACATCAGAGGCTGGTCATTCAGGACTACAAGCATTTGCAAACCAAGCATATTAAAACAAAAGCTTTAGATGATTATCAGAATTATTCCCAAAAGACTAGGTACAATATTCAGGTCACAAAATTTACTATTAGCCTACTTGACAAATCCTTGTAAAATGCAAGAAGTAAAAGTCTGTCCCCAAAACAAATTGTCATTCCCAGGTAGCTTCAGCTATTCAAAAACTGCTGAGAATTGCAGAAAGAAATAAGCAATGACATATTAGGTCAATGTCCTAGTCTATGGAAATTGCCACAATTAAATCAAGAAATATATGGCTTAGTGCCAATATATAGGTAGGACAGGGTCACTTTTATTCAATAATCCACTTATATCCTCAATAAACTAACAACAAGCCATAATACACACATTTATGATCAGTTTAACACTTTCAAGGGCACTTTCAATAATTTATATAGAGAGAAATGACAATTAAAGACAGTTGTTTGAGTGACACAATCTAAGTCATTCAGTTCAAGTTATAAATTTAGAAGATATCATATACACCCACTTTAGCTATCCATTATAATAAAATTGTTTTTTAAGGCATCAAATTCAATGATCCATTAGGCTTGGTCAAGGGGGAAAGAACTCAAAATTACACAATATATACCCAAGCGGTCAGTAAACTGGTCGTTACTAAGTAATATCACACAATGTTAGTCATACGCTTTTATTCAAGGTACCATTACCACCACTTCACTGTGTGAAGGACTACATTTTATATTTAACTACTACTTGCAGTAGGAGAGGGGGGGAGATTTCAAATGGTAGACTAAACCTTTACCACTGATTTCAAATCAGTGATGTATTTAGTGGAAATCATATTTTCAATATTTCAACATAAGTTTCGAATTTTTTTTTTTGAATGAGACATTGATCTATTTATATAGTTACAGTATTGTAGATGAAGGTATATCTGTAGATCTCTCTCTGTATATGTATCTGGTGTTTTGAGAAGTACATATAAATCTGTCTAGTATATTTCCTGATTATGTTTTTAGAGAATGATATATTAGATTAATAGACCTCTACAGGTGTTATCTACTATATAAATTGACCATATCTAAATATATATATATATAACTTATTGAAATACCTACTTATCTTTGACATTTATATGGTATTGCTGTCTGTTAACTGTTCATTTGAAACATTGAAAATTTAAATAAGATCGAGAACTAGTTGATGCAGGTGTGATGCAGGTGAACGATCTATGATCTTAGTTTAGGCATTAATCATGTTATTTTTAATGCTATAGCAACAAATTAAGCAAATTTTATTCTACAAGGAGTCAAATACCATCTCAAAGTCAAGGTGCTTTGTGAAGCAGGTGAACCATCAACATGATCTTTTAATGTAGTAGCCACAAATTATGCAATCTTTTTTTTCTTGGCAGTTTTTACTTTATTTAACAACATAATCAATTTCAGTAGTCAATTAGTTATGGTAGTTTTTATATCGATAGTTTCAGCAAGACTGTGTAGTATAAAAATCAGTTAATTTAATTTCCGGATATTAATCCTGAAAAAGGGCAAAAGACCCAATTCAAAGTTAAATGTTGATTCTATTTCTAGCATAGTTTTTGAAACAGCTGATAATCAACATAGATTCAGGCATGTGTGCGATTAACTTTAATTCTTATTTTTCAATCTTATTATAATCAGTTATTCAATAGATATATTAATACACACATATTGATAGTACTTTAAACTAGGTAGGTCAGCTTAACATGGATTTAAAATACAAACAGACAGTAGATAAGAACACAAAGATTAATACATGTCATGTATTTCTATATTTCACCATTTCAGATACATATCTACTATTAATATTGTTGCCTTGCTTAATATCTGTTTACAATTAAGCAAATACTTTCAAAATCCTGCATAATGAGCACTTTCTCAGACCAATAATCCAGCCATGAAAGTATTTAATACCTTGACTTAGAAAAGATGACCAGTGGTCAATCAGTGGTCAGTCACTGGTCAGTTTGGTAGCCAGGAAGTTGATAACTAGTTATGCCTGCAGGCTATTCACACATGTAACTAAGGCTATAAATTAATAACAAGAAGTGTCTAGAGAGGTGAAAAGTTCTTGAATATATTATAAATCTTGTCAAGTTTATTAATTATCTTTGACCTTAAATTAATTAAACAATTAACTTATAATCATAATCATATTAGTGTCAACACAAATTTGGGGGATAATGACTAAAAAACAGTCTCAAAATGATGTGTTAAAATCTAAAAATCATTAGATGAACTTATTATTTTAAAGCCAGTTATTACACTTAACTGCATTTAAATATGTGAGCTCTACAATTAGGCCTTGAACTCAAGGCAAAACATATCATCATACCAGACTAACTGGTTCTCTAATTCTACACTTTATGCTATGCAATCTGAGATGACAGAAATAGAATTTTAACATAATTTCTACCAAAAAGTTGCACACCCATATTGAATTTAGCACCACAGAAAGTTCACTGTTCCCTGAGAAATTCTGAATGAACTCTTGCATTGGAATGCTGTGAAATTTCTATGAAAATTGCAACCATATTAAATTTAGCACCACATAAAGTTGACTTATCCCTGAGAAATTCTGAATAAACTATGGCATAAGGATGGTTAAGTCCTGTACAGGCTATACTTAACATATTAACATCTTGCTTATATTTTCAAAATAAACAATCTAACACTCTCACTAAACTGCAGTGATGTGCATATTTCATATAAATAGTATGTTGATAGGCACAGCTGTTTAAGTAATAGTATGCCTAATAGACTTGGCTTGTCAGTAAATTGTTGTATTTTCTATAGTAAAAATAAGGTGTTAGTTAACTAAATTGTAAACTGTGTGTGGTATATAGAGATACAGTCAATATTTGTTATCAATTAATTCTATAGTAATTGTCATACAATCACAGAGTATAAACAACATATATCACAAAATAGTCAAACCATCACTGGTCCAATATGACCCTTGCAATAAAGTGAGGCCTACATTACCCTACATTGCTAAAAAATGGACATTTGATGGAATATGTAAAGCTGTAAATAGAGGAGGTTACTGTGTATGATGGTGTGGGTTTATTGATACTGTAGAAATAGTAGATGTGAATCATTCCCTGCACCTGCCGTCAGGACCCCTTTTTTTCTTATGTATCGGTTAACCACCCTGTAAACTTACACCATACCTTTTCTATTCAAAGCTTTATATAGATTTTTCAGTCATATTTTTTAAAATATTCATGAACTTGAAAACTAATTATGGGTAGATGTGAAGTTTGCATTCAAAGTATTATAAGATTTGAATTTGAATTTAGTTTGAAAGAAACATGTTCACAAAGTATTAATATAATATATGGTGTATTGTGTGTAGACATATATATGAGGTTTGACAAATATCTATAATATGAATATTGAAATATTACTTACAGGATATATGTTATAACACCTATACTCCACATATCAGTTGCTAGAGACAATGGTTCATAACTTATTACTTCTGGTGCTGAAATATAACAAAACATTACTTACAGATTTGTGGTTCCATTGAAATGAAATTGACTTGTACAACCTCACAAAGGAATTTAGGCTCAATACCACAGTTTTTTTTACAGACTTCAGAATCAAGCATAGCTACCACAGTATTTTGCAAGAAGAACTTATTGTCTAAGCAATATTGAATTTTGTCCATTATATTAAAGTGGATTTGAATATAAGATTTCAAAACAGTTGCATTGATAAATATATAAGTTTAAAAGTTGACATTGAAAAGATGCCCACTGCCTTCCCAATTGAAAAAATATCCCAAATTTTGACTGAAAATTTTACTCTGTAAGAAGGTGGAACACACGTTGAAATAGATAAGATGCCTTGATAATTGATTTTGCATTTTTTAACATGCTATTTTGTTTGGGGCAGTAATTTTACAATTTATATTTGATGACTTTTATATTTTAAGGGTTGGACAACGACATCCTGAAGTATATCTGTGAGAATTTTAAAAGAGATCAGTAAGCCAACAGCTGAGATACTACCTGTCAAACTTTGGGATGTTTTTTTTGGGACGTCTGATATATTCGATAACAAAATTCCTCAGACAATATAGTCATAACTTACCCACAAATTCAGCAGTGCCCATCATAGCTCGAATGTCACCTTTAGGATCTATTTTCTGAGCTAAGCCAAAATCTATCAATTTGATATTCTGACTGTTGTGGTTTAATAACATGATATTTTCAGGCTGAAATATAAATATTAAGCAAGTGCCTGTATCTTGTTGGAATTGAGGTAGCAGCATTACCTTTTAGTGGCAGGGATATTTATCTATAAAAAGAATTTGAATTTCAAAAGAATTAGAGTTTTTCTTTGTTGTTAAGTTGTATTTCATTATGCATTACCACAATCAGTTCAATATAAACCACATTCAATTCCAGATTTTGCTGACGAAGGACTTATCTAAGAAAAGGTCACAGACAAATCAGTGCCATGCTAATCTTCAGACTGCACAGAAATCTCCTTGTGTCATAGATAAATACCTTGAGATCTAAATGAGCTATTTCATTGTCATGGAGATGTTTGACACCGTCCAATATCTGTACTAGAAATTTACATGCTTCCTCCTCACTGAGTTTATCTTTCTCTGAGATATAATCAAACAGTTCACCACCTGATACACTGAAATACACAATACCACATTTAACTTGATCAAAAATATCAGTAGGCTAGATAAAATATTCATTGTATTTATCAATTTATGTGTTTGGAATTATTGGCAGATATTAGAAATTAAAAAGACACCAAGGTAGTTTGGTTATGAGTTGGGTGGTTCACTCTGACATTTTCAAAATCATTAGAGTAACATAATATATTATGTAGCAATTTATATAAAAAAGAATAGAAAAACAGCACTTAATGGCTTTTGTTGCACTGCAATTTCAACATATGGTGGTGAAGTATGTTATAAAATTGAGGCTATATGCTGTTGCATAATTGCTTTGGTGATATTTCTCTTAATGAACATAGTTTAAATCCCCAGTCACCTATTCTATTATTATTAAGAATAAGCTTCTTTCAGTATTAAAATGGACAACCATGAAAAGAAACTATAAATCTAATGACATTAAAAAAATAGACACCAAAAAAATGAGTCAACATGTAAAAAGAAAGGAATACATATGATCAATTGTTTTAAGATAGTGGTGTGTGTATATATTACACAAGAAAATAAATAACTTTAAATTGAATCTATGAGACAATTGTAACGTTATTCAAACAATGAAATTCATTATTTGGAAAAGCCATCTTAAGCCATTTTCTACCCTTTTTTTCTTCTATTGGGAAAATGACACTTAATTAAGTTTATTGAGAGGTATTCGGTGATATCTTTTAAAGATTTTGAGATTTATGTGGATAATGAACTGCTAGTATACAAATTCTGATTAAGAAAGAAACTTAATCTTCAACAAGAGAAAAATCAATATGGAATTCTTCAGACACGCAATAGATTCCATAGACAATCAAATGTTTCATGGTATCAGAGAAATTCTGCTGAAGTGGTCAAATCCAATAGTCCAAGCACTACACTACATAATAAAGAGGGTAATTCAATTTTCCAGAATAGGAGAGAATACTTACAGTTCTAAAACTAAAATAACTTCATTTCTAGTTTCATACACATCATATACATTGATAATATTACGATGATGAAGACATCGTAGTATTTCAATCTCTTTCTTAATATCTTCCATTTTAGCCCCTTTCTTCCCTCCACCCCTTCTCTTCCTGATAAATTTAGCTGCATATTCTTGGCCTGTTTCTTTATGAGTGCATCTCTTTACCACTGCAAAGTGGCCACTGAAATACAAAGTACATATTTTTTTCATTGCACAGCTGGGTTAGGGTAGGTCAAGTATTCATGATTTTAAATAATGATGACGATGAGCATTATACATCGTCTTCAAAAGTACTAAAAATATATACGAAAATTGTATAATCCCTTGAAAAATGATCTTTCCTCAACTATAAGTAGAATTATAGTTAGGTGGACTAATTCTCTAAAATAAAAAGCAGGAGTAGGCTTTGACTAAGATTTTTCCTTGGCCAGTGCTTGTGATCTCACTGCTCAAGCTCTATTAATTACAACAACACCTTTATACTAATAGCACCATGTGAGGTAAGAATATTATCTTTGTCTAGAGATAAGATCATTATTCTTAAATTCCTAAGCTGTCCTGGAAATTGTTCTATGATTGATGAAAAATCAATTGAACTTAAAAACAACATGTTTGTTTCTATTAACTAGTCGTTATAGAGAACTAAAGAGAAAATCAATGTAATCCAACTAAGTTTGACCTATCGTCTATTGTTTATTGTATTCACACTCCCATAATCAGAAACCTGCTCAATATAAATAAGAAATGAGCATATTTTCAATACAGTAATCTCTAGATAAAGATGTTATCTGGTTAAATAGACGGTAGAGCTCTACAAAGTGTGCATATTGCTTTACCATGAATAGTAAGCTTATATCTTTGCCATAGATCCCTCTATCTAAATGGTTTTCTTGACATAGATTAATAAACAGGGAGTGAAAAACAGAACAACATTTGAAGTTGAGCTATCTGGTAGACTTCTTAAAACTCTAAATACATCAAGATGCATCATTTCTGATTTAGTTGACTTGAATGTAATGACAACTGAAAAATTTCAGTTTCCTCAATTGATCATGTTCTGTGTTCCAGCAAAATCAGGTAGTAATCAACCTCAGAAGTCAATTTAAAGCTCATTTCAACAGATAAATGATACATTAATGCCAATGATCTTATTTGTAAATCTATAGTTTATCTTTTGTTCGGTACAGTAATGAGTTTGTTTAATTCTAGATCATATTCTCATGAACAAATGGAATGTTATATTTATTGTTATGACTAATAAAGTAACAGTTTACGATACCTACATACTAATCAATATTTCACTACAATACCTGTTGACTGTTGATGCCTACACAAATGTTTACTTGCAAAATACTATGTAGTAGATTTAATAGAAAAGGTACCATAATATACAAGTACAATGGTCAATATTTTCCTAAGGTCATTTATTGTCCAGATGATCAGTATCTGAATATTGAGAGAGCCTTTCAATGTACTTTGTGGCGCCAGGCAGGGTATGTTTATTCTTCTAAACACCTGAAACAATTTTTCATTATGAAAGACTTATTCATTTATAATTGATATACTTCCTCATATGAAAAGTTTATTAGCTACTACAATTGATTTGTCAATATGTTGTTTGGATTTCAGGTTTTTTTTTACAGTTCAGATCCGTGTATTTATTGAAAATTTGAAAAACTTGTGATTTAGCTTTATACATTGCATGGACATTCTCTTTCATTAGTTAAAAGTTGACAATGTCAAATAGGTGACCTGCCAGACCCTGTTGTTATATTTGTCAATACCAGTTATTGACACAAGACCAGCTAGTTTAATAGACTAACTTCTACCACTCCACTTTTACTTTATCAACTTATTATATGGGGGCTTGAACTCTTATCAAATATATTATCAATATAATAGAAACTTGTAGAAGTTAATTTAGGGGGTTACACTACACATACACTAAAAGACCTCTCATAACACAGAGGTTTATACATAATAAGACACTTCTGAGGAAGATTCTGATCAAAAACAATAGGTTCTCTTTTCTACAATGCATTAGGGACACCTAGCTTCATCTTTTTTAACAACAAAATGTTTTGTGCCAACATATAGACATTGGACAGAAATTAAAACGATGCAAATGGAGGCACACAAAGGCTAGAATACTATTTTTTAAATCTGATTAAATAAAACCTCAAAATTTCAGCATTAATTTTGTATTTAGATATGCAGTGTAGAGCTAGCTAAAGAGAAAATACGTCAAAATATAGTAATTATTTCAATCTAGCTATCAGATTCACACACACACACACACAGTACCTTTTGTGAAGATATCTTTATCATTTTAAGCTAATCAGAATACTCAGTGATAAAAACAAATAGTGAAACTATGATGGTCAAAAAAACATCCAATCTGGACAGTGGACAGAAATCACAATTAAAAATAAAGGGTCAGTATAGTTATACTGATGGTTATCATGATTATTTGTAGATATTTTATCATCCATGTCCATCTCTACAGAAATTGCCATTTTACTCATAATTGGCCAGTTCTTTAGAAACTAGCCTTTAGAGACTTTTTTTGTAAATAATTGATTATGACAAATTGCTAGATTTTGAATTAAAATTAGCTATACATAGAGTTCAGATAAAGGCTACAGAGGGCAACTGAGCTAATAACTGTAAAAAGAAATTGAAATTTGTAATGGCCCAGAAAATTGAACAAAACTAGACGCTACCATTGACAACCATAGGCAAACTGAATCAAACTACTTTCCATGGTCTTTTGTTAAAACAATGCTGTGAACATATCATTCTTAGTACCTACCAATGTAGCTGATGAGAGAAATGTGACAAAACACAATTTTTTAATACTTCACAAAATCTCACCGTCGATACGATCTTAATCTTAAGTGCTGTGCTTATCATATCTAAATGGTAAAAATTACACCATCAAAGTTTAAAAGAGAGCTCAGTACTAGTAAGCTTCCTTTACAAGAGCAAATTATTAACAGTAAAAGAAGCGATCCCTTGAATGAAAAAGTTGATGTAACAGGTGAAAACTAAAGTCATCTTCAAGCTGACATTGTATTAACAGTAGGGTGTGAGATAGTCTTAAAATTGACACAATATAAACTTAAAACACACAAAAACTACTAAACACCAACTATCACCGATAACAAGTCACTGTCATTCAAATCTTTGCTCTTTCTTCGAGATAGTTGACCTTCCTCACATTTACAGTGTTATATTATGACTTAACATCTAGCCTTAATTAGTTTCTTTATGTTTTTTAGTTAAATTTCATTAAAATGGTTGCAATTTTGCCTGATGCAAAATCTAAACATTTCACAAAATCAATAATCAAAAGAAAAGGTGCTGCCGTGTCTAGTAAATCTACTAAATCAACATTATGTCACTTTCCATTCCCCATTTTTTTTTAAGGAATAAGAAAATAAACACGATTTGTCAAAATGCAACCTAACCAATAGTCAGTTTAAAATGAATATCATTTCTTAAATTTGCATTTAAATCTGGTTTAAAAAAATGTTGACAAAAGAATTTTCTGGCATTTATTGACATAATACAAAGTAAGCTGGATTAACAGTTTCTATAGGGTTTGTTTAAATGTAAAGGAAAAAGGTTTACAGAAGCTAGGTGTACTAGTTTGATCTTCAGAGACAAAGTCAATGGTAAAAAAAATTTGACATTTTGCTTAATAGAGGGTTCAGTTACTAAAATACTCTTCATATTTCTGACATTCATTTATTATGGAGATGGAAATTTAAAAGTTGGTGGTACGGTATTTAAAATGAGTACAGTACCCAACAAACTCCATACCAGTACTACAGCTCAGTTAAAAAACAAAGCAAAAAAACCTCAAATAATGCGTAGATTTCAGATACAGTGTATACTATTAGCTCTAACAGCATAATTCTAACTATTATAGTAAACAGTATCAAGATGGCCAATTATCGTAACTAACCAATTATATGCTATTGTACACAAATTAAGTTGGTGTAAATAGATCCAAATTGATGAAATAAATGTGGTAATAAACCCTTTAGACATCATTTAAACATAATAGGTAATAATAGCAATGATACACACATGCATACTTTTGAAAAATTACTAGAGTGTAGAAATTTTTTGACCTATTTATCTAAATAAGGTTTTGAAATTGAGCTAAGAATAATTATATGGCATGTTAGTTACACAGCTTAGGTCATCATATCAGTAACATTCAACAAACAGAATTTTTGTTGTCGTACGACAGCAGCACTTTTTACAAGCTAGCTGAACTGATAAAGATGTTGGCCTACACAACAAGAAAGGAGCAGCTTCCATGATGGACCCTTGGAACTAATCTTGTAACCTCATTAAAACAGGCCTTTAAAACTTTTATACCAAGTACCAGTCAAGACATGAATTCTGAGCTCACTATGACAGTGTGCTTGTGATCAAAGAATAAACATTGATAGAATAGGCCTAGTAGTAGTAGTAAAAGCTACTAATCCCTATCAACTTATTAAGATGTAGGAACTAAGAAAGAGGCGGTTGAGAAAGGTTAGGGGCAGGGATTGAAGGAAGACCCTTGCCAGCCACGTTTGACAACAGTGACAACAATTACATACCTTCCTATCTCGTCACCTACTTCATACTTTTCTTCAAATGGTTCTTGAATGAAAAAGTTATCCATTTTTTTATCAGCAAGATTTTATCGTTTGAATATGAGTTGTAATTCCACATGTTTAAAACTGAATATCACATAATCCATAGAATACCTAGAGAGCATTCCGTTAATCAATTCCACAGTGTAAAGTATCTACAAAAGTTTCTTACACACATACAGTTAGAAAATGAATGAAGTGTCAAGTTTTTCACGCCTTCGGGCCACAGCGATGTTTATCATCTGCTATTTGTTCACGGTGAACGTTGATGAAGTCAGCCATTGGCTAATATAATGAGAAATAAAACTACGCAAAAAAATAAATTCAGAGAATGTGGGGTTAGGTGTTTAAAAAAACAAAACCTCGATAATGAAACTTTAAAACTTCAAATAAGGCCTAATCCAATAATAATTCGGTTTTATTAAATTATGTTTTGTGCGTATCATTGTTTTGGTTTCGTACATAGCTGAACTTGAATAAATGTAAAACGAAAGTTGCTATAGCGCGCATTAGCAAAAAAAAGCATATATTTTGTTTGTTGGGAATTACACCCTTTATTTACAATTAAAATGATATAGGGCGAAAAGGGATTGATGAGAGCAGAAGACATTTACCAATACCACGACTGCACCCGAGGTTAGTCAACTTGGCACTTAACCGAAATGGTCCCAAATCAAAATTAAGTGGAAAGGGAAGTACCTTGACGCTTCTTTCAATATATGGTATCTAAAATGATACAAACATTACACACATAATATTTTTCAATGCACATTTTTTCAGGCAAAGACGAAGGCTTATCAACCTATGGTAAAATAATAAAAAATATAGAAACTAACGATTTTGACTGCTGACAAAAGAAATGTCACATCATGTTAGGTATAATGCACGTTTAAGTCTTCCATATAGACATTTTCCGGCTGGTAGTAAAAAGTCCACCTATCATATTTGAGCAAAGAGAAAATTCCGTATAAGCAAAAAAGGTGTTAGTAATATTGATAAAATCAAATTATGTAAATTTCAAATCATTTCGTTTCGTACTTTGTTACAGCGCAAACTTTGAGTGGACCAAAATGGCCGAATTTCTAAGCCCATTTGTGTTTTGGGGACAAAATTCCAAATCTGTCTCATTGCGAGTTGATTTGAGGGATGTCAAAGTAAGCGTAAAACAAAAACACCCAAATGATCATATAGCAGCACTTAAAACACCGAGAAGGAATCAAAGTATCTGGAAAGACTTCAGAAAAATTGATGTAACAATCTGGTGTCTAAGAAATGCCAACCTTTCTATTAAACGGCTTTAATGAACCCTTGTCGCTTCCATAGATGGAACTATTTTACTTAAAATATCTATATAGGTCTATTTTGGTACTTGACTATATACATTGTTTCCTTTGTCATCTGATAATTAATTCTACACTCAAAAGATATATATTGTTGTTAATATATATTGAAATGTTCTCTATGAAAGACTTTCAAAACCACTTGAACAGGTTTTGTAATTCGGCCCAGAAATCACTTGGTCCAGAAAGTAAATGTACTGAGTTAAATTCTTTATTTTGACAGAATGAAACAGTAAATATAGATGAAAACAGTATTCAGTTTGATGCAACTGCTGTTGGTCTCAAGGGTAATCATAAATATAAATTTGATATTGACTTTTATCTACCTGTGGATCCAAAGGTTGGTATTATTTCTGTCACTTGCCTGTTAATATGGCATCTCATCTGCAGACCTTAAAAATATTTTGGTATTCATTACTGATAAAATTAATTTTCTATTGCAAACTGAGTTATAGTCATCTTGGCACCTAACCATAATGACATCATATTTGGTCAAAATTGGTCTTAAAATAAGGTCTGAAAAAAATGTATTTCAAGAAACATTTATTTCAGGAAAGCAGTTATAAAGTAACAGAAAAATGTGTTGAATTTGAACTGAAAAAAGAAGGTGAAGATGAGGTATGGCCAAGATTAACAGAAAAACAAGTCAAACTTCCGTGGCTTAAAATAGATTTTGATAAATTTCAACTAGAAGACGACTCAGACAATGAAAACAAAAATGTAAGTAGTCAAATGCTAAGTATAAATTTCACAGAGGAAGAGTAAGTACCTCTAAACTTACATAAAAATATGTAAAAATCTTTTGATAAATTTGATAAATGTATAAGAAGAAATCATGCCGATATTTTTAATCTGTTCTGGAATGTGAAGGCACCTCATCTCTGTGTAGCTATTTTCAAGCTTCTTTAAGCATTATAAAGCTTTGTGTGTATCTGATTTAGTGAGGAGTCAAATACCTTATCTATATCATAATTTTGTTAATTGTATTTTTTGAAGAATAATGAAAATGATGCTATGATGGAACAATTAGAGAAACAGCTATTTCATGAACATAAAGCTAGTAAGTTGTTTGGAACATGCTTTATAATTCTCTGACCAAATAAACCATAATTTATTATGTTATATTGTCCAGAAGCAGAGTGAAATAGCTACAAAATTTTTCAAAAGTTCATTAAAAAAAATGAGAAGAAGAAAAAGATCAGGAAATATTAGTCTTTTCCCTTATGTTATAACATGAAAACAGATTGAAGAAATTTATTAATTTAGGGTGCATGCCTATGCTAATCAGGAAATTTGAAAATATCACTTATTATGAACTAACTCTTGGTTATCTTTATTTCAGAGCCATTTGATTTTAAGTTAACTTACACCTTACTATATAATTTATTTCAATTTGTGGGATTTTTGTTTATATTTGTAAAGCTACAGTACCAATATTATCAACATGGAGAAGGTAACTCTTCTTTCAACTTTTTAAAGCCTCATTGGATGATGATTTTTTTATTTATGAAATTTTTCAGAAAACAGCAATGTTTCAACCTCTCATGACAATCTATAAAGCTTGCAGATTTAATGTTTATTATGATATGTACAGCCTTCGCATATATATGATTTATTTTTACTCTTATTAAGAGTACATGGTGGTTAAAGGGAGATAATCTATTTTCAGAAGCTAAAAAGATAGCATTTGAAGATGTTGGTAGTCAGATTATGTTATGTCAGATTATAGCTGTATTAGAAATCATACATCCAATGATTGGATTAGTTAAAACTGGTTGGATAGCTCCTTTGGCACAGGTATTCTTCTTTTCTAATAGATTAGAATTCTAATTGCCAACCCAGTAAGATTTGTATAGGTTCCCGAGAGGAATGAAAATCAAATGGAGATTTCCCTCCCACTTTTCAGTGCCTGACTAAGTTAAAATGCAGTGTGCAATGAGGGAAAATTCCAGGACATTAACAAACATTAACAAATATCCCCAAACACTTTTCCAGACCCTGTGACCTGCATCATTGACAGAAGTAAACTTGCACCAAATCCATGAGCTTACAATGAGTGCAAGTGTTCAAAGACCAAGAGACACACAACACTATTGAAATAGTTTGTTGTGAAGAGATTCCATAGGTTAGAATCCACCTTAAGAAAAGTATTTTGGAATGCCTTCGACAATGGATTTAAAGAACTTCTGAAAAATATTTTTTCAGGTGTTTGGTATTAATTTTATTTTGTTTGTATTAATTTTTCAAGAACAACAATTACAACATGCTCCTGTTACATGGTATTTATTTACTGTGTGGAGTTTTATAGAATTAGTTAGGTAAGTTATTATAATATATATCCATATCTATATCACTTTTCACTATTAAATCTGAAATTTGGTTGACCTACGATTCAATAACAGAAATATTCCTGGATTCTCATGAGTAGATGTCACTGATCTTGTGACCCCATGGGTTATAACTGCCTGTTAGAATATAAATGATGGCCTAGGAAAGATGACAGTCTCAATATCCTGAGTATGTTGTTTGTTAAATTGTATTAGAATCAGATGTAGGATTTCAAATATAAAATGTGATACAGAAAACTGAAAAACTTGATAAACCCAATATAGACATAACTGTAGTTCCAGTAGGGTGAGTAGGCTATTGTTACTAAGGTTATTTGCTTTCCTTGCTTGTCTTGTTTTGCTGATGAATATATAAGCTATTTCCTGTTATATATTTCAGATACCCATATTATATGTTAAGTAGTGCCAATATAGATATAGGATTATTAACATGGTTAAGATATACATTATGGATACCATTATATCCTATTGGTTTCTTATTAGAAGGTAACAATGAATTATCATATTTTTCTAATGCAATATTGAGATAAGTACTTCTGATAAAAGCATTTGAATGATGCACCGACTGTTGATATGTTGATATGAATGTAGTGAGCAAAACTCTTGAGTTTTTTGTGAAATTAAAGTCAAAACTACTTCAGGGTCTAAAGATAGGTTAGCAAGATACCTACAACACAACATGGTTGGCTTGTTTAGCCAATAGCTAGTGACTGTTATGGTATAAATGATCATGAATATATTGCACTTGCAGCCGTAAAGCCCTAATTGTTTTGCAATGTATTGTAAAGTATAAATGTTATTTTGCATGTGGAGCTGCAAATTAAAAAAAAACATGAGCTCAATTGAAAAGGAGAAGAAAAACAAAACTATTTATTGATATATTATATTTAATTTACTATTGTTTATTTCAGGAACAGTGGTTATTATGAGTATACCATTATTTGAAATCAGTAATAAATTTAGTATCATGTTGAATGATGATAAATATCTATTATTCTTTCCTTATTTATTACATCTACATTTAATACTCATAGCTTTAGGTAGGTTGTGATTTAACTCATTGAAAATGAATCTAATGATTCAAAATGTTATATTTCATAAAGTTACAGTCAAGTAAATGACAATAGGAAATGGTTACTCTAAAGGATCGTAATAGATGAAACAAATCTTGAGCTGTCTCTAGAGATCCTTAGATGTAAGATGATATTAGGTGTCATAAGCCCAAAGATATTAACTTCAGATTTCTGTTGCCAAGGTTGTGAGTGGGGTCTAGTTGTTTGGATGGAGGAAAAATAAAGCTCTTGTGATAAACAGGTTGTGTATGTTAGGGATGCCTCAGCAGCTTTCCTTACGAAATTTCCCTATTTCATACTGCATGGCCATGCCTGTTTTAAGGGCTTTAAGCACCATGTTTCAAGGGCTATCAGTAGTGCTTATATTTTTATCATATCTTATAAATTTATCAATTTATTTTTCAGCTGCTTTCAAGTTGATGAACTATATGTACGTTCAAAGAAAAAAGAAATTGGGTATTACAAGTAAATCAAAAGCTAAACCTAAAAAGAAGACTTCATGATTTTTTATTTCAAACATTTTATATGGCAAAATTATATTTCACACGAAAACTTGTCATAATGTGGTAATTTGCTTATTGAAATCCATGTCTTTTGATTGATAAAACATTTTTTATTGTGAAATGATATTAATTTTTTTTAGCAACAATCACACCATTGTCAATTTGACATCATGTTTTAGATTTTTAAGAGACAGGTTCGCTATCCGTTCTGAAGTCTATAAAATTAATTAGTAATAGTGTTCACATCTCGCATGTAATTTGAATTATCCACGTTAGAAAGTTAAAAAGACAACTCATCATTTCTTATGATTGCCATATATAGCAATAGAAATAGAAATTCCTAGTTTGATGTATTTTTGAAGAAATTCTGCATTTGTTTTTACATTTCTAGTACTTCTGAAGATTATTTACATATATTCAAGACTCAAATCAACCCCCCAAAAATGGCAAACCCCACTTTTTAAGCAGTTTTCAAAATATTGCAAACTATGATTTAAAATAATAAGTTTATGATATTGAATTTTGCATTTCATATTATCTAGTCGATTTGAGTGCCAATGATAAATTTAATCATTCAATAGTATATTTACTGGTAATATTTTTGTGTATTTATGACACATATTTTTTCTCATTTCGGGTTTCCTGTGAATTGTGAGAGGCTACCTTTTACTTCTGTTTATTGTTAGTGAATCTTGTGTTTTACCAACAGGATTTATGTTGTATTAACAGAAATTTTAATTTTGTATGGTTGTGAAAATGAGGAATAAAATTCATATCACATTTTTATTTCATTTTGGACATAAGCTTATTTTTACTACATTTGTTGACTAATGGTTTATACCTCAGATGAAAAAACTTGGGTGTTTATTTACTTAATATATGAAAACCTTACCTGTGATTGCTATTTTGACTATAGTCAAGTAGATGTGGAAAATTTTAGGGACACCAATTTCAATTTTTCACTTGTATATGAATTGAGACTATATTGAATTGAGACTATATTTTATTGCACAGGTTAATATCCAGGGTCTAGGACAAGTTCTAAGTTGGATATGACTTGACAATTATAGCTCCTTATGGACTGAAAATTGGTAAAAGTGGGCTGTGAATGCAGGTTAGTTACTACAAAATTTTGGGACAAGTTGCAGCCCTTGATGTAATGATCATGAGTAACCAGTGCCTTTATTATTTCTGGAGGAAAAATTTTATGAAAACCTTATTCAAATAGAAAGTCTAGCTGAGTGGTCGCCGGCTGAATTGACCAAGTTTGTAGATATGAGTTACACCCCTTTAAGCAAGTGGGTGTTCAAGCCATCAACATCACATAATTTTTTAGATTTGCGGAACTCTTCAGCATGTGGCGCTAAATTTACTTTACCCGCATTTGATCGTAAGAAATTAAGATAATAAGATTGGAAACTTTCCCTCTGAGATTTGGAATCCCGACTATATGTAATAATAATTTCCAAATCTGCAAGTTTAACGTTTCGAGCTCTAGATAAAAAGAGAGTCTTTCTACCTGGTCGTCGACTTAATTTACTAAGTCTGTAGGCACGAGTTGCATCCCTTCTATAGAATGGTTTGGATTACAGAACATTGTTTAACTTCGGTCACTGGCATTGGTTGAGGATATCGGTTTAGTTACATATAGCAACATTAAATGTGCAACTATACGCAAATATTTCGCATGATGCGAATGATTTCCTAGTCGTTTAGGGGCAAGCTCGTGCTGAATGAATTGCACCCGAGTTTCAAGATCTTAACAAATAGAAAGTCAAGCTCGCTGGTCGCCTCTAACTGAACTGATGAATTGCACCCCGTATTCAATTTTCATTTATTATTTTTCTAAACAAAAATCAATAAAAACAAACTTACCGGTTTTTTTAAGTCTAAACGGGTTTTTAAAATCTTTTGAACCCTTTCACTTGGAAAAACGTTTTTGTTACGATTCTACAAACATTTCATGATCTCTCAAATGTACCCACCCTTTATTACATGCAAAAAAAGGGTAAGACAGAACGCTTCGCTCGAATACAACTTTTACGTTCTAGTGACTGACGTTAGCCAACGTTCTATCTCGGTTGTTTTTTCATAAAGGGGTGCAACTCCTGTCTACAAACTTGTTCAATTCAGTTGGAGACCAGTGAGCTAGACTTTCTACCAAATAAGACAATTAAGCCAGGAACTACTGATGCATAAAGGTGTGGGGGTCATGTCAAGGTATGAACATGAACATGAACATGACATGATAGTAATGCTGTGATAACCCTATGGCATGATAGCACTCGAAGAAATGGGGTGTTTTGGAACCAAATGGTAAGTTTAATCTCGAGAGGATTTAATTTGTGACTTCACAGATGAAGGTGGTGCAAATCAGACAAAAATTGAGAAGGAGATAGAATCCGGCCAGACTTCCTAATTTTAGATTATGTCTAGTTAAACAGTCTAGTCACAATCATGTTCTCGAGGATATCCTATAAACAGAGTTAGAAGTTACTTCTAGTACATCCTTGCCATAATATCGTCTGATAAATACGCGACCTAGGTACTGCAATGAACAGATCTTTTGTACAATATTCTCTATTCTGGTATAATTATATGTGCTCAATCAGTTGACGTAAGTTATAAAATGTCGTGATTGTTGTCATATACCAACATGATAATCATAGGCCAGACTGTGTTAGCATTCTTGTAATATTGAGTAGACATTAAACAAAGGTGTCTTTCTGTCGATTGCAGCTAGACGATAAAATAAGATTTAAAGTCGGTTTAAACGACCAAAACTCTACTTCCTCCTTCAACCTCCTAATTCTTGCCCGAAATGTTTGTTCATCATTGATCCGACTGTTTCTAGCTGTATTCGGTAGGCTTGAAGAGGGGTAGTGTATTGAGATGATTTTCTACCAGTCAATATTTGCTTATTTGCTATGTCTTCTTCACAGCCAAAAATCTACACACAATCTACTTTGATTTTTCAATGATTTCATACTTGATATATTTGAATTGAGAAGTCAACTGAATGGACAAGTGTTAATAAAGTCCTCAAGTACAAATAGTTTTGACTTGAAGTCATTTTTGAAAACTAACTAACACCATTTAACACTTTCATTTAAATCTGATGTGTGAAATCTCTGTCTCGTCTGTGATATACCCATTGTAACGTTTTTTACCTCCAATGTCTGAATTGTGAAGATCTTGTGACGTCTGCTCTAAATAGATTGGTCAGTTATGTCAAAAGTGCATCGTTCTTCGGATTCAGTGGAGTTTACTTATTTGTTGTAATCTTACATGTGATTTTTTCACACAAGATGTAGTTTAGCTATTTTTGTAGGAGCTGCCTTTTCGTCTGATTTAAGTTTATTTTCAATTTCGATGAACTTTCGATGTTCACGATTTGGGAGACAGGAGGCTGTAGAGATGTGGTGACACATACGTCTGCAATTTGTTCTAAGGATTATGGATTATAAAAAAAGTTTAATCATGTTAATTTGTGATTATTGTCAAATTCTTGTGGTGTTTTTAATCAAACAATTTAATGTGCGTAAAGTAGAAGTCTTATGTGACATTTTCGTCTTGGAGAAGTTTACAGACGAATGAAATCTATAAGCTAATAAAAAGAAATCTTGTTTTAAACGGATTTTAGCTGAAAGAGTCTTGACTGTATTTTGTGGTAACTATTCAATGAAAATGTTACAATTAGTTATGTATTTCATTGAATATAAGCAAGGTAAGTTTGCAGAAGGTCTTTTTTCTTTTGACACAAAAATGATCTTGAATCCCGAAGACTTTGTTCCTACTTGATAATTGTCAATGATCTTGCAAGTTGCATGTACTAGATCAGTTTACATGTACGCTGAAATCTCTAAATTCTAATTCTTATCGCAGATGCAACTAATTGTAACCGGTAATTGTATCAAGTGATAACACACTATGATACGTATTCATGATAGTTGTAACAACATTCAACAGCATTCTTCTGACAAATTTTTCATTTTAACTGTTAAGATTTATGAGCTACCAGTCAATTTACTTGAGCATGTTTTTTGTCCAATTAAACATTTTAAAAAGGCGAATGTATTAAGTAGAGACTAATGTTTGAAACATTGATATATACAGGAATTTTTGTTTAAATTTGGTGCATCCCAAGTCGCTTAATAATACATTGGAGAAGATTTCATATTAGTGTTCATGCAATAGTGAAGATGAGGGTTACGGTTGATATAACTTGGTTGTCCAACTATAGGGTAATCATTGAAATTTAGCACTAGACCTTGAAGGTAGACATTATTACTGATATCGTCCGAACTTCAAAATCCGTTTCAAGGTATAAATTCTCGTTAAATCAATGGTCAATATAAACGAACTCTCACATCAAAGAAAATCAAACATATTCGTGTTGTTGAGGCAACAAGAAAAATTTCCCAAATTTAAACTTTATTTTCCGTATTTGGACTATGGGTTCTTTATTCTTCAATGAAATACGACTGGACAGGCATTGGTCTTACATGTACGAATAGAGCATGAAGTAGAATCCAATTGAGAGAATTTTAGCAACATTTTTTTTTTTTAGAAAATTATGTTCAGGAAATGGGTCATCTTTGAACTTTTTCGGTTTATATCTATAAGTATTTTGCTATAAATTTACAACAAATTCTAATTAGTTTCTGTTAGTACCTTTTAATCTGAAGTTTTATACATAAACTGAAATCTGGGTTCTTTCGAGTGAATGGAAAAATTTAACATTATTGTTGACTTATACTTTTATATTTTGCAAATCTTTGGAATTCTATGGAATATCTTGAAGGTTCATTTCGACAGAAAAAATCAACCATTAAAGTACATGACAAGAACAACATGACCGTACCATTGTTTATAAATGTCACAGATATCTTCAAGATTTTTTTTAGCAAAAAAAGGGTAATGGGTAATGCCAAGAAACCATAGTATTTCGTGGGAACTTCATTGACGGTTGGAGAAACCTTCCATTCTGCATATTCTTGACATGTTTAGATTTGGGCTTTGTGAATAAATGGATTAGAGTAACAACATATTTTCTTGTTATTTGGACAAACATTTGAATATTTGTACCAAGATAAAAGTAGTCTTAAACATCTAAATACACAGTCAATGGAGTTGTCCTGGTTCAAATAGAAAGTACATAGAAGAGGTTTGTTTGCTTGTATTCTTATAATATAAAAAAAACCTTTCGGCTATGATCTGTCAGAGAAATCTTACTAACTCCTCTGTGCACATAATCGTAAACGAACACCACTTCCTGTATAGCCTTATATCGCTGACAAAACCTCAGAATCTGATCTAGAACATTCTTCAACTAACCATTCTTTTAGGTGATTTCTAGAATGTCCTTATTATAGCACCACGTGGCAATTACTTACATGTCCTTGAATGTCCTAATATGAAAAACTTCATAAATCTTCAGGAGCAAATCTAGATATGGTAGAATTATTGAAACCATACTACATCTACTTCTGCTTATTTTTTGAATTATAGAAAAAGTTAAGCAAACGTTTTCTCTGGATTTTACCCATGACCCTTTGGTGAAGGTGACGAACTAGGGCGACGATTGAAATTGAATTGCAGGCCGTTCTTTTGAAATTGTGTCTATCCTTAGACACTACAAGAAATGTAAATAATGACAGTAATACATGTAGTTGATTGTGATGTTAATTATTAAGTAACAATTTGTGAAGAATTTATATGGTTTTATTTACAACCTGTTTACTTAAGAATACAATCCCATTTTCCGTGGTAAACCTTCTGTTGACAGATACCTATGTAAATTTGTTTAATGTGCGAATTTATGTACAATTCGGGTCAAATCCTGGTGTAAGGTCGTGAAATAATTTGAGGAGGCGACACAGAAGATTTTGAAGGAAACTTCGCCAGTCATCGACTTCTCTTTTACAAAAATGATGATTAGTGATATTTGCTAAGATATGAAACTTTATGAAATAAAATAATATGATACATGATTTATATTGTCATTAATTACGTGGCTCTAATTTATTAGTATATAACAAGAATATCTGCATATTAGGCCTATGGCATTATTTGTCAAGAATAGAAGTTATATTTAATCACATTAATTCAACCATATAGACCTATTATTGCCATTTGCTGTAATTCAAATCCAAATGTAATTCTAATATATTTTCAAATGTAATTTACATTATATTGTCATATAAAATTGTTATTCATATTTTTAAAAAATATTACTGTTATTCATAATTAAGATAACTGTTATATTTGTTATAACTGTGATAATTTGTTATATACAAATATTTATTTTCTATGTTTTCTACGTTTAATTTCCATTATCTTATAATTCGCAACATTAAATTTCCATTATCATATTTTCCAGATGGTTTGATGAAAAGTATAAAATGAAAAACGATGAGTATGAAAATGAGAGATGATGTGTAAAAAAGCTGATAAATATGGACTTTGTGTAACTAATTCAGATTCCGATGGTGACATAGAGGTATGGACTTTCATTTCAATATCGATAACGTTGTTTTTAGCAAATCCAAATCATAATTTGGACAGGACAGATGACAAAAAATAAATAAATAAATAAAAAAATAATGATAATAAATAACATCTACAGATTTATATCCGAGGCACACTTGAAACTTATTTGATAAATGTGTTTATTTTGCTCACATACTGAAAAATATTTGCATATATTGCACTGTAGGCTAAGTCTGAGTGTACTTTACTTGATAGTCTTAGTAAGTCAAATAGTGGGTAGATCATTTCAAAGGGAATGGTTTCTGTTCAATTAACAAATAACTATTCACCTTCATTACTCTGTCTCTATTCTAATGTCAACGCATTATTGTTTACGTATAGATCTCATCATAGTCCTTTTTTAGATTGAAATTGTTCAATCATAAGACGTCATTTATTTTGAATTCACATACATTTCTGACAATACTTGCATGCTGCATTCTTTAATGGATTTAAATGGATGTAGTATCAAGAAGAGAGGTTGTTGGTTGGTATCTTGGCTAGGAAAGCACAAGGCTTAAACCATGGTCTTTAACAGATAAATGAATATCGGACTGTTAGGCCTACAATAATGTGAAGTTACCAAGACAAATTGGTCATAGAGGATATCGTGGAAAAAAGGTAAAAAAAATTACTAATCATCGGAAGGCACTGGATCAGACTTAAAGCAGTTTCACTAATAAGATTAAAATTCTTAAGCGCAACCATTTCTGATGATGTATTAAGTTTTTACTGTATCAACAAACCTTACCTTACGACACATTAGTAGAAACAGAAACGTAATTAGATGACAATTTTAGGATTGACTGTACATGTACTTAACTTCCGAATGTGTTAATCCGGGGACACTTAGATTTGGTCGGATGGACTATGTCACGATCTCTCGTTTTAAATGTGAACAAATGAATTATTGTTGATATGTTACTATAGTAACACTATGATGTTACAGTGATGGTAATTACCACTAATAGACTTGTTACTTGTGACATCACTTTTCAAGATTAGAGAAGAATTTAAATAAGTACATACAGCCTGGTAGCAGAAATTTCAAGAAAAGTATTTCACATTATGAAAGATCACACAATACAAAAGTAATTTTTAGTAAGCAATATCAATAAGGCATATTAACATTCAAGAATCATCTTGTTTAAGAATTGCCAGTCAATGATGGTCCATAGTGTTGAAAATATCTCATTTTTAATGTCAGTCAGTAGAGGTTCATCCTGTTCAGAATGGTTCATTTCTGCCAGACAATGATGGTTCAACAGATCTAGAAGGGTTCATTTCTGTTGCCAGTCAATGATGGTACAACATATCTAGTATTATTCATTTCTGTTGCCAGTCAATGATGGTTCAACATGTCTAGAATGGTTCATTTCCGCTGCCAATCAATGATAGTACAACATATATAGAATGGTTCATTTTTGTTGCCAGAGAATGATGGTTAAACGCATCTCGAATGGTTCATTTCTGTTGACAGTCAATGATGGTTCAACATGTCTCGAATGGTTCATTTCTGTTGACAGTCAATGATGGTACAACATATCTAGATTGGTTCATTTTTGTTGCCAGAGAATGATGGTTAAACGCGTCCACAATGGTTCATTTCTGTTGACAGTCAATGATGGTTCAACATGTCTAGAATGGTTCATTTCTGTTGCCAGTCATTGATGGTTCATTTCTGTTGCCAGTCATTGATGGTTCAACATGTCTAGAATGGTTCATTTCTGTTGCCAGTCAATGATGGTACAACATATCTAGAATGGTTCATTTCTGATGCCAGAGAATGGTGGTTCAACGTGTCTAGGATGGTTCATTTCTGTTGCCAGTCAATGATTGTACAACATATCTAGAATGGTTCATTTCTGCTGCCAATCAATGATTGTACATCATATATAGAATGGTTCATTTCTACCAGACAATGATGGTTCAACATGTCTAGAATGGTTCATTTCTGTTGCCAGTCAATGATGGTACAACATATCTAGTATTATTCATTTCTTTTGACAGTCAATGATGGTTCAACATGTCTAGAATTGTTCATTTCTGCTGCCAGTCAATGATGATTCTACATGTCTAGAATTGCACAATTCTGTTGCCAGACAATGATGGTTCAACATGTCTAGAATTGTACATTTATGCTGCCAGTCAATGAAGGTACAACATATATCTAGAATGGTCATTTCTGCCGCCAGTCATTGATGGTACAGCATGTCTAGAATGGTTCATTTCTGCTGCCAGCCAAGAATGGTACAACATATCTAAAATTGCCAGTCGATGATAATACAACATATCTAGAATGGTTCATTTCTGTTGACAGTCAATGATGGTACAACATAATATCTAGAATGGTTTATTTCTGTTGCCAGACAATGATGGTACAACATATCTAGAAATATTCATTTCTGCCGCCAGTCAATGATGGTTCAACTTGTTTAGAATTGCACATTTCTGTTGCCAGACAATGATGGTACAACATATCTAGAATTGTTCATTTCTGTTGCCAGTCAATGATGATCCATCCTGTCTAGATTGGTTCATTTCTGCTGCCAGTCAATAATGGTTCATCTTGTTTAGATTGGTTCATATCTGTTGTCAGTGAATGATGTTCCAACATGTCTAGAATTGGACATGCTGAGGGCTGAACACAAGATTCAAATTTATTTATAATGCAACCATAATTTTGTATTGCGCATTCAATGAGTGAAACGTTTGAAGAAATTGAATTCAACAATTCTGGATCTTTTTGACGTGTTTTTTTGTTTTAAAGATTTACCGACGAACTCGTCCATGGTGTTCCAAAATAAACAGTCTTTAATCTAGAGAGTTAGTATATCGAGGTTCAGTCTAATGATTATAGAGGTGAAAAGACCACTGATGTGTTTCATATCAATAAAGTTCTGGTACAACTTCAGTATAGAAGTACTCAGTTTTTGTCCCATGAAGATAATTTGCGTTTGTCCTAGCTCTAAATAACATACGATTATAAAATGTAGGCCTTCCCTCATTTAAATTTTCTTAACACGCCATGTTAGTCAACACTCAAAATGTACATATATATCTTGACTTTTCCTTTTTAACAAAACAATGACAAAGACGTGCAAATAAGATTTTCTGCGAATCAGATACAATTATGTTCAAATGATGTTATCGTTGAAATATGTAATGACTTTGAAGTGTAAAAACCTGTTCGTGCAGAAAAGATTGTCAAGATGTTCCCTCATTATAATATACAGTGTATATACATCTTTTTACTTTCATTTGGTATATCAGTATAAAAGGATACATTATACTTTGTATTTAGGTAAGATAATATGTTCTGTTTCCTTTATTCAAGGTGCGAGAAATACTTTGTATTATCTCATTTTATATGATTAATCGGGGGTAGGGTAATAAGGTTTGGAATGCAGCACTTCATTGTCGTTTTGGTGTGATAGTAACCCCGTATCCAGTAGGATATACACTCCCATGCTTCATTCGTCCCTCCTCAAGAAGGCGTTGTATGGTGTTTTACAACACGTCCATAAAATACAAGTGATTAAGTTATAAATAGTTTCGCTTCGTGTCAACTATGATCTGTGAAAATCGCCTTTAGATCATGTTCAGTCGAATTTTGACTTGAAAGCGTGGGTAATATCAACCAATTAAAAACTTGTTGAATAGCTCAAAAATCATTTGAGAAAACACGAAGCGAAACATGTTTCTTTTCCCAAATGTAATAATTGTTTTTTCTGTCTTTCAGATTTTCAAACGACATCGTCCAAACTCCAACAGAAGAGTCAACCACGTTAAAATCAATCCAATATTCCATGAGAGAGGTCATGAAGATCTGGATAGACGAAGTCAGTCTGAAGGTGATCTCACAGCAGACGATATCAATCTGCGAAGATACGAAAGTCTTCCCAGACCCAAACTTCAGAAAGTCCAAACCTTGGAGAGGAAGTTTAGTTCTGATTCCTCATTGTTAGACTCTGATCGACATGATTCTGACGTGTGTTCTCGACGTATTGGTATAGCTAATCGGTATGGAAGTCATCGAAAACATCGCGGGCGTCATAAATATGAGGTGAAGAAGCCGAAGAGCAGTTTAGGCGGGAGTAGAACTACAACGAACGATGAAGACACGGGATTTGGTGATTATGGACAGGGTTATAATACTTTCAGTAGTGATACGACTCATAAATCATATAAACATGAAGTCAAACGCGTTAGACGGAAAGCTTCACGAAGAGCAGTAATTATGGATATGACTGGTAGTAATACACTAGATCGAATGGGTGGGGGGACGCAGGTTGTTGACGAAGAAGAGATCCGCGAACACAGAATGGAATACAGCAGCGAAACGGACAGTCACATGGAGGATCTGACATCGGAACCCCCTATCCACCTGACAACGACAATAGATCTTTCAGACTGGAGTAGAAGTGTGGAAGAGGTTGTAATCACCCCAGCAAATGAATCCCGAACTAGGATGTCTATTCAAAGAAAGGGAATAGTGGGTCGTGTGCATAGTGCTAAATATAAGAAATTCACCCAGTCTTCTTCGTCTAATGACGAATCTGTGGACTCTAAACCCATAAAACCCATCCTCGTGTCGTCTTCATCGTGTGACGATTCCTCTAATACATCGCGGAGAAAATCTTGTGTATCGTCGGGTGAAAGTAAGATGGTAACATTCGCCGAAGATACAATCTTTAATGAAGACAAACCAAAACGTTACCAAAAGGAAAAAATAAACTTAAAGGACCTTTACGGCGGAAGGATATTCAGTAGTTCAGTGATTGCTAAAATCAACCCTCTGTTTACTGATGATGATGGCGGTATTGATGATGATTTTTGTATGACCGACGATCAGAAAGCTGAAAGACATAATTATCCTGGATCGATCAGTTCTACTAGTACATTATCGGCACAGGTAAGGGGTTGGAATGGATTTTGACTTGCAGATTGCTATCCAATGTTGCTCTTTTGGGATGGGAACTGCTTAAGTTATAATTTACATCAATTGATGATCATAATTTACGTCTTATATGTCATCGGTCCCCAGTTAAAGTGAAATAAGATCTGAGCTTCTTGACTTTTTTTTCATCTAGCAACCTGTATTCTTTCTATTTTAGACGCTAGATTTAAACGCGCCATCATATCTCACAAAATATCTTAGTTCGCTGTCCAGAGATGGTGCATGTAGTACTATTTCCGGTGAATCTGGCAATACTCCCGACATTTACATACCGTTAGATATAGAGCTAGATAAAATGGTGAGTAGAATACATCTACAACCTAGGTCATTGTTCGATGTAAGACTCCTCGCTATTCTGCTGGAATTTTCGACGTCTCGCTGTAAACTTAGATGACCTGCCATGTTATTCGAAACGTTCACAGTTACGTTTTTTCGTGTAACTCATGAAAGTTGTTGAACAACACTCGAGGATATCGTGCATCAAAATTTAAAATGAGTGAACTAAAATATATGTTTCGTACATGAAACAATGCAAAGCAAATTTTATTTTAGCATTTAATTGAGTCTGTCTGAATGATATTCGATTTTCTTATTGAAACCATCACAAATATACTTATGCTTCACCAGAATTTGATCAACAACCTATAAATTGATTATCCTATATTATTATAGCACTAAATCGTAGCATAACCCAACTATATGCATGTGTCGGAGCTAATCATGGGCCCACAATTGCATTTTGATGTATTCATAGTCTTAATACTGATTTTCTGGTTAACATAGCTGATATTTTAATTTCAGTCTCGAAATGACACTTATCTCTCCCAAGATACACTATATGGTGTACCAGATGGGCATGATAGATTATTACGCATGACAAGAAAAAAGGAAAGAAGAATACAGATCATTAAATGGATTGTAATAGCTGTTGCCTTTACTGTCATAGTTGCTGGTGGTATATCATTGGTCATATACTTCTCTAAGGATAAAATGCCTTGAAGTTGGCAGAAAGTTCATTTGGATTATGCTTCCAATCAGTAACAGGCGATTGGAACACCATTGATTGTGTTATGCAAGCATAGTGTTGTTGTTGATTTTAATACTTCGGACAAACAGAATCATGGCTACTCGTGTGTCTTTGATATTGAAGATTTTGGATCTGTAAAAAGTAATGAATTGTGCTATGGAAGAGTATTTGAATTTAAAGATGTGTGATTTATTCAACGCTTATTTACTCGACTTTACGACAACCTATATTGTTGCAAGTAGTGCCCATATTGGTACCCGTGGATAACATATCTGTTGCATCTCAACTATGAGAATACGTCCGAACTTCCCTCATTTTAGATTCTTTTGAGATGCAACTATTTAACCTAGTGTAAATATTGATTATAAATGAGCGGTCTTCTATTTCTTTGAAGTCATCGTCATAAACCGGTACCAGAATAATAAACCGGAATAATGTGTATAATTTCTTGGGTGTAATACTTTATTAATAATTTGATCTCACTTGATATGGGTGATGTTTGTATATAACTGTACATGTACTCAAGAATATATAATCTTTCATGATTTAATTTATATATTCAATGTGATGTAGTCATGTTTTTTTTTTTAATTTAAAAACATAAATGATTTTCTGATTAGTGCAATTTTCTTGTTGTCATTGAGGAGAAACTTGAGGAGGTGTTGTGCGCAATTCGGAAAGAAATTATCTACTTGGTTTAATTTGTAAATTTTGTTGTCCGAATATTGCTAATTTGACATGCTTGCCTCCCTTTGTCTATTTGATTTCCTAATATCCACAGGAAAGATAAGACGGGACAGTAGCGAGGATAGGATAAATAAAAAAAGACAAGTAGAGAGAGAGAGGGGAGCACTGGGAAATAGAGAAGAGTTAAAAAAAAAGTGAATAGAGGGGAAATTAAACATGGAGAAGAGAAATGAGAAATGCAGAGAGATAGTGGAGGGAGGGAGAATAGTATTCAGGTAGTGATACCGAGAAGGAAAAGGATAGATTTGACAGGAGTTAATAAATTGACAGGAGAAAATAGACTATATATTCGGAAGTATAAGAGGGCTGTGGGATTATAAGCTGAGGGGAGAGTTTGAAACAGAAGCTTTCTTTTATATTGAGAGGCACTTATTGTACCTCCGTGCCATGCTTCGAATTACAGTACTCCGAAGACATATTATGGATCGTCGTCTTTCAACTAAATGCAGATTTGAACCTTATCGGCGACCAAAATTGGGTTTTAATACAATTCATAAGTAGCCTCAGTGGTCAAATAAAATTGCTAAGAGTTCCTTCCCTTGAAGTAAAACGTTACTATTTAAAATTCAAAAATTTAATTCTCATTTCATATCAGTTCTGTAGCGATTTAAAATGTTCCGGTTATAGACTCCAGATTGATCTTGCTATGATGTCTAAAGATACAGTCGTTCTAGCTATTTCTAGACTAAACGGAACATATAGTTCCTCAAAGTTTCTAGAGACGGGCGAACTTTGCCTAATTTTGCTAGATTTGGCAAAAATTCTCACGAAATATATACAGTTTGATCGTCGTGGTAAATTGTAATTGTGGCTAACCATAAAAAATATTGGAGCGCAAAGATAGTTATTTTGTCTCACAAAATGTGATACCATACCGCTACAACAGAAACATCATTAAAAGTTCTGAAGATACCGCTTGCACCTTTCTCAATTTTTTTCGGGCTCTTACGCACTTTTAACAAATCCTATCCCAAGCACTATAGCTGATATAACTAACATCATTAATAAAAGGGGATCTTTTGACAATTAAATGCTCACACACACATTAAAACAGAAACATAAGGTTTTGCTTGGAAAACTGATACAAAGATAAACAGCAACTTACTCTCATATTTTACAACAGATGCAGTATTGAAAAACAAACATATAAACAGAACGGAATTCGAAGATTGTTTTTGGTGGGAAGTTTTTACCCTAGGGCTGTAATAATTGACCTCGGTGGAATAAGTCAAGTAGGATGCGTATAGGTTTTATATTGGTTATACTCAGGTGTCCATTATTATCAGTTGAACTGCTCTGTGTACAAATATTACAGTTATTTCCTGGGAAACCGTCAGCCACATTTCTGTAAGAAAACTAACACCTGGAAAACAGCAACAATATCAAGATGCATCTATGATGGTGTAATGAAGAATTGATGACTACTGCTAGAACTACTGCAGACAATTTGGGAAAAACTTTGGAAATACATACACATAGTACATTTAATCTTTTCAGAAAGCGATCTCGTATAAAACAATTTATCGGTGGATAATGTGTGAAATTTGCTTTTCTCCCCTAAAGAACCGCTGTAATCGTTAGTATTTTGAAATCCTATACGTCGGTGACTCTCTGATTTCTTGACGTTTATAGTCTCCAATCTTTTAACTGTAAAAGATAGACATAATATTGAGTGGTCAAAGTGTTTGAAAGTAGCCATTACAATCAATTCACTTCTATTGATCAGACGACATTTCCAATCACGCTTTACTTCCATTCTCAAATCTTCACGTGACACTTGACCGGCGTCGCGAATTTGCGATGAAAAGAAACAAATCCAAGCTATTTAAAACAGCAAACTTTAGTTATTGACTCATCAATTAGCGATGATAGGCTATCTAATGCACATCAAGTGTTCCAATGTTTCCGAAAACTCCAGAAATTGCTCAAAATAAAACTTTAGATCTCGTCGTGTAATTTCTTAGTAAACAGTAAAGGTCTTGAATCCAATTTCCGTTCTGTGAAGAAAAGAAAACATGATTTTCAATGCGAGACATACTCTGTAAGTGATGAAGTACAAACTTTGACTTCAATGAAAATGGATGTTTTTCTCAAGTTTGATGGTGTGAGATAGAATAATTCAACTGGTACAATAACCATCTTGATGAGAGAGCTACAAGTTCTTATTACTTTTCATTCTCACGACATCATTGAAAAAGATACGAGTTTCAAATGACTTCTGGTGCTTCTACAAGAGATGACTGACCAATGAATGGTACTTCTGACGAAAGATTGGTAATTGATGTTATTCAATGAAGTTTCCGGATTTCGTCCCACTATGACATACTTTTAAGGAATATTATAATGAAATGTCACACGTGAAAAATAAAATTTAAATTTTACGTCCTATTCTTCTTATCATTCTTCTCATAATTGGGTTAATGAAAACGAGCATTTTGCAAGCAGTGTGCAATGGAAGAATTCTTGCTTGTGTAGCAAGTCCCTGGTAAAATCACTAGTTACTCTAGTTGTCTCCCAACTTCAGAAAATGTAGACCTAGATTTTGATGGAGAATGTTGAAAAGAGAAAAACTACTTTTGATAATGACTTCGTATATGACGAATCGCTACTAATTCGTTTACATAAAAGCTTAATCACCATTGTATCTTATTTACATTTCTACCAAACCTTGGCACCATTCCTGATATTAAATCAATATTATGGTTAACAGAATATAAAACGAGCAATCTAACGCTTGGAATATTTCTACAAGAGAAAAACTCACTAATCATTTTTCATATTTTCCCTAATTGACAGATGACGTGGAGCAACTCGTGAAAATTGACATGTTTCAAAACATACATATTGGGTAATTAACTATTTCCCTCTTCCCAGCTTTTAACTTTGTATGATTTTGTGTATTGAATTAGTTTTCCATTTCTTTTATTTCTTTTTAATATTTTTACAACTAGGTTCTAGTGATTTTTTTCTTATAAAAAGTTTTTCTAAATCGATAGCATTTGTCGCGTCTCTTGCCCTTTGCAGTGAATAAGAGAGAGCTCCATTGCAAACATATTTTGTTTCAAGATAATCAGTATTAAAGATTCTATTCGGAAAAAATTGATTACATGATTGGGTACGGGAATTTGTTTCAAAGGCCGATCTAAGGCATTGTAAATGGACTGTGCCCTCTTGAGCTGTATGACTGGAGATTTCGTTTAGCGTGCGTTTGTTTCTCTTTATATTTCGTTACAAAAATCGCCATGTTTCTTTTTTTATATCAAAACAAATTAATTGCTCGAGATAAGAAGAGGATATTTGTTAAGGATTAAATTCAGGTTGAAACTTGAACAGCTGTGATATTGTAAAAAGAGTGCCAGATTGAGTTTCCAGTAGGGTTAACTAAGCTGTCAATCATCTTATCATTAATGTAGAGCTAGTGAAAATATCTTCGTATAAAATCGAATATCACTTAATTCCTTCCATATCTGGTAAATTCATACTTAACCTTAGTATTAATTTCTAATTGTTGATAATCTCGTTAAAATGACTTTCATTTGAGACACTATACATTCAACTATACACGTCAAGGCTGCACGTGTGGCTGCCATCTTGAATCTCGTCACAGTTCGCGAGAACACAAATGACAATTAACCTGGCAATTATAGGAAGAAAATCAAATTATCCATCATGATTCGAGGGCCTCCAATTGTTTAAATCTTCAAATCTCAGTTATTAGGCCACCCTTTTAACATTTAAAGTAGAGTACAAGTGCCCTTGAAACTGATGAAGTGAATTAGATTGCTGCAATGTTACATGTACTGTACAATTTAGTCGACTAATGCATAAGTTGTATCAAGTGGAAACTTGTAATTATTAAAGGGTTGAAACCCTCTAATTATTTACTATATTATGTGACACATTTCTATTGATCCAAAAAACATAAAAAAAAAATAACAACAAAAAAATTGTGAACTTATTGTGGGCAATAACATGAAGGAGAAGTCAATAATGCAATTATATCAAACCCCCTCTTTCTTCCAATCAACATTTGCTAAATTTTCCATTAAGTGGACAATTATTCATCCAGATTTCTCATCACATGACATATTGACAGAAAGCTCTGCTTACTCCGCCCACCTTTTACCCACGGACGTTTTACTTAACTATTACATATATACTATAAAACAAAATTCATACATTCACAGGAGTTTACTAGTATGACGTGGTGACAGTAGTATCTCAA